GCAGGGCCTTGTGGCTATGGTGGTCGGTGGTCTTGGGAAGTTTTGAAGGCGGCGCCTGGGGGCGGCCGCTAATTGAGAATTTTTGTGTACAAGAATGACTCGCTTTTGTCTCCACTGCTGCTTTGTCTATGCATGACGTGTGTGTGAGGCCCCGAGTGATGGGAGCTTGTTGCGCGCATGAGTGATGTCAAAGGTCTATGGATGATTGGATGTCCTGCCAAGGGTTGTTGATTGCCTGCATGTATGTGTGTAAGTACTTATCCGGGCGGGGACGGAGGAACAAAACTGGGGGACCGTCTGCTTAGGAGTATGAGTGTGTTAATCCCGTTGTTCCCCTCCCTTCCGCGCCCCTTCATGCGCGCCCCCACATTCTTGATGTCAACTCACTCTCTCTCCCCCTCTCTCTCCCGCGTTCCTTTTTGAACTGATAGCCATCGCTTTTTTGAGTTTCTCGTCCCCGTACCGGTGACGTCAACCGCCTGCGTCCGCGCGGGAGGTCGACGCCCCCGCAAGGGGAAGAGAGCTTTGGCTCCGCCATCTTCCTCCGACGCACTAACCTTGAGAGAGAAGGTTGCATCGAGTGTTGTATGGAGTCGATGTTGGTTCGGATGACCGGGAGTGCGGGATCTTGCCCGTGTTTATCGCCTACCTCCGATCATCTCATCTCGCTACCGACCTTCCCCATCACAAATGACAACAGCGTCGACTGCGATGCGGATGTACGTCGCGCGCTGAGGCGAACGGAGCAAGTGTGTTGGCGAGACCCACCTCGGGCTTGTGATATAAGGGGGAACGGGTTTGTCTTGATTGAGCGTTTTTATTCCCCGACTCTAATATTGCCTTATAAGGGTTTGACTGTGTTGCCCTGGTCGGCCGCTCACGCCGTGTGGCGGCCGCAGTTTGGTTGTTGCTGGTGTCGCCAGGGGGACTCGTGTTCTTGGCGACGGCTGGTTCTGGGCTACGAGGGAGCGACACGTTTCCCCGGGCTTTCCCGTGGTGCGGGGGCGCTGCCTGCGCAATTTCGAATTCGGATGCCAGTGAGTCCTCCTGACATTTCGCTCTCTCGGGAACTTCCGTGCAGACTTTGCGAGTCCGACGCCGAGGCCTGAAGGCTTCAAACCCACCCCCTATCCCCCGAACCTATGACGGTATGAGTTTCTATCGTCCGACGCCATGGCCCCCTCCCCTTGATGCCTTTTCCCGTCCTGATGCACGGCGACAATTCATTTTCGCGGAAACCCTTCTGATTTTATCGTTTCGGAGTGATCCGACCCCCACGGGACTTCGCGACGACAGTTCGACTCCGGGGAAAACCTCTGGCACGAAACGAGGGCCTCCCATTCTGTCCGGGAGACTCAACCTTTACGGCCAAAAATCCTCGACCACGCCCCTCCTAGAACTCTGATCGGCGACCCCATACGGGACACCGCGAGGGGGCGTGAGGTTGGTATTGGAGCTGATTCGTTTCGGCTCCGAGGTTTTCCAAGGACGAATACCCTGCTTAAGAGTTTTATTTTTTCTGATCTTTCTTTTTAGATTTTTCTCATTTTTGAGTAGGCTGGCTCCCCGTCGCCGGCGGCCTGCGATTAGCAATCAGAACCGAGCGAGAGGCCGGGCTCGACACCCGCCTCCCGCGATGGTGGAACCCAGAATTGGGGGTGAAAACGACGGTGATAACCATGCGGGGATGGCCAATCATCCCCTGTACTTTGTACCTCCTCCTTCCGAAGTTCCCATTTTCTCCGAAGATGATACCGACCCTCGCACCTGGCTAGCTGCCTTGAAAGCCCAGGGCTGGTCGAACCAGTTGCTCCGGAACTGCCTTTGAGTGGTATGGACATAACCCTTTCACATATTGGCTAGCCTTCGAGAGGAAATTTCTCGACAGATTTGATCACATCGCACCAGGTCAATGCCTTCGTCTAATAAAGGAATACACGCAGCAGCCTCGGGAGACCTTGGCTAGATATGCTGAACGTTTTACGTACCTAGCCGAACGCTCCGGGGTGGACGAGAAAATGGTACAGACTGATTTCGTTAGAGGATTGTCAGATTCTCGTCTGCGGAAAAAGATCCGCAAGAAATGCAACCCTATAGAAGATACCCTGACGGAGCTAATTCAGTACACAATTAAGTACGAAAAAGAAAATTACAATGTGGGCCTGAACTCAGAATCCGACGCAATAGCTATTCCGCTACGACACGAATGTTCGAAGATCGCTTCGGATTGGGTCCGGCAAGAAAAGGCTTGGATCGGAAAGCTTCTTCCTCTTCTTCGACCTCCCGTCGCTCTAGTCAAGCACAAGGAGGGCGGGGTGAGGAAGAAGTGTCCATGAAAGAGGTCGTGGCCCAATTAGTTACGGTAGTGGCCCCGCTGACGGAGTTAGTTCAGGGCCTGCAGTGGCAATGCCTAGCCGCCGCACAACGGCAACAAGCGGCTATGGTCGTTGGGGCCCCTATGATAAGACCGGCCATGGCCGGGGCTGTCCCGTCCCTACGCTGTTATAACAGTAATCAGCCAGGTCACCTTGCGAAAGATTGTCTAAAACCTCGAACTCATAATGGGCCCACTGGGCCTTCCCAAATCCCGCTGGCTGCTCCAACCATTGCAGGACAGGGGAGGGTGGCCACGGTGATGGATACCGGGGCAACGGGAATGGTGACCGCTGCGGCCACCGAGATAGGGCCCGATGAATACATGGCTGCGGCGATGTTTGAACCCGGGACCATCGGAGTGATACGTCACGTCCAACGGATTACCGAGGAAAGCTACCTCGGGCCGTGGCAACCGGGGTTCGAAGACCTTGCGACACCTGGTCCTGAATACAAGGATGGCCATATCGACGTATTGGATGCCTTGAAGGCTCTGGATCTGCGGATCCCCGTCCCTATTCCCTATCTGCTAACCATTTCCGAAGCGGATAAACAAAAGTTAATCGAATGATGCCTGAAAAATAGGCGCCCATTTGAGGAAAGTCGAAAGGGCAAAAAGCCGGTCCTACGAGACCTACCCACAAACGAGGAGTCGCAGCGCTCGACCTCAAAGGTGCACGAAGCCGAGTGGATAGGAATGATCCAGATCATAGACTCTGCCTCGGAAAAACCCGAGGTAATCCTCCGAGCCTATCTTATAACCTAGAAGAGCGTTGAGTGTGACTGCAAGGTCTGGGGAAATCCCTCGGCCGCCATCCTAGACTCGGGATCGTCAGCGGTCGCCATTTCTTGGAGATTGACGAAACAGTTGGGAAGGGAAGGACAGGTTCAGCCCCTCCGACCGGATGAACTGTATATATACGCTACGGAAGACAATATTCATTGTAAAGGGCGAATAACGAACGTGCCTATATGGGTGGGGCGGTTCGCATTGTTTGTGCGACGTAATCGTGCTGGATGTACAGACGTATGATGTTCTGCTAGGCATTCCGTGGCAGGCGGCGGTCAGAGCGCGGATGCACTTTGACAGCTGTAAGGTGGTGCTCACATCAGCCCACCCCAAACCCCAAACGATACCAATGAGACTGGCGGTGTGCATGCGCATCCAGCCGGCGCCTCGACTCACCACGAAAGCCCATCAAATCAACATGATCCGACGCCTGTCACTAGACGAAAATGAACCCTCGACGGAAACTGACGAGACAAATGTACCCGACCGATATCCGATCCGAGTTCAGGATCGGTGGCACCGTTCTTGGCGGCGAGAACCACTGGAAATAGTTTGGAGCGAGTCCAATTGGTCGCACGCATTCTCCTCCGTGGTGCAGGGGGAACCCCTGCTCAAGGTGTCCCGAATAGCTGACCTTTCGGAATCCCCTGCGTCCTTGTATCTCAGGACGGACCTCCTACCTGAAAGATTTACTGAGCTTAGGGGACTGTGCAATTTATCTTTTCGACCTTCACGGCCCCTACACACGAATGAAAAAGATGCGATACTCCTGAAAGAGGGGGTGTCGTTTCAACCCCGAACAAAAGAATATCGGTGGGGACCGAGGGAACTAACGCAGGCCTTTTCGGTAGAACCCTCGGCCGAACCCGAACTGGACAGTGACAGTGACATGGAAAGCGAGCCGATGAGTTCGGCGGACAGTCAACTTATTGCGACTGTCCTTTCGGCGAAAACCGACAACTCTTTATTTGGGGCCTCGCCCGATGCCAGCGCGGCGGTCCCCACGGTTACGACGACGGTCTCCTTTCCTGGGGGAACCGTAAAAGTTCAGTTACCAGCCCGTGTTCCAGACGAATACAGACGCCTCCTCCTTGCAGTTATATGGACCTATCCTGAGGCCGTCAGTATTCAGGACCACGACATAGGGCTAACCCCTTTGATACAACACGTGATTGATACCGGGGATCACGCCCCGATACATTGCTGACCGTACCGATATTCCCTTAAAGAAAGACAGTTGGCGTTGGAAAGGGTACGGGAATTCGAGCGGTTGGGGTGGGTCGAACCATCGTTGGGACCGTGGTCTTTTCTCGTGGTCCTCGTGCCAAAACGAAATGGTTCGGTCCGGGTGTGTATCGACTACCGGAAATTGAACGCTATCACTACCAAAGATGTGTATCCCTTGCCGCGAATCGATGATTTGTTAGATGCTATCCGGGCCGCGCGAGTCTTTTCCAAGTTCGATATCTGACACGGTTTTCACCATGTCGCAGTTCGACCGGAGGACCGACCCAAAACGACTTTTGTCCTATTTGAGGGCACGTGGCAATGGGTCCGGTGTCCCATGGGAATTTGTAACGCCCCTGCAATGTTTCAGCGGGCCATGAATATGGCCTTCGCTGAGTTCATTAACAAAGCACGACTAACCCAGCCCCTGATCAATTTCTGCATGATTGTGTACATGGATGATATTTTGGTCTTTTCAAAAACACACGAGTACCACATGGAACACATTGAGTGGGTTTTGCATGCACTAAAAGATGCGGGGTTCAAAGTGCCCTTGGAGAAAAGCGAGTTCTTCTTGTCGGAGATCTCATTCTTGGGGTACATCGTCACGGTCGATGGACTAAGACCGGATCCGAGGAAGGTGGCTGTAGTTCAAGAAGCCCCAGCACTGGTCACACTCACCCAGGTTCGAGCTTTTCTAGGGCTGGCATCCTATTACCGACGCTTCATCAAGGGGTTCGCTGGTATAGCGAAGCCCCTCACGAACCTGCTGAAGAAAGAGGAACAACTGATCGGGACGCCAGAATGCAAAGTGACATTTCAGGCGTCGAAGGAGCTTCTGACATCTGCTCCTGTGTTGGAGCGTCCCGACCCGACAAGACTGTTCGCACTGTACACCAACTGGCAGCCGCATGCGATATCGGCGGTGCTGACTCAGCACGAGGCGGACGGAAGGGAACACGTCATTGAGTATGCATCCAAGACGCTGAGCCAGGCGCAGGCTTATTACGAAGCGTGCAAAGGCGAATGCCTGGCGGTGGTATGGGGGATTCAGCATTTCCGACTGTATCTTTACGGCCAGAAATTCATGCTGGTAACGGATCATTAGCAGCTGCTGTCCCTACGCAACAACAGGGACTACACCGAGACGCTGGGCAGGTGGGCGGTGCGTCTGCAAGACTATGACTTCGACATCCACCACCGTGCCACGCGACAGCATGGTAACGCCGATGGATTGACGCGTCTCCTGCCGCCCAACAAGTGTCCCGCCAACGAGCGACTCATTTCGTGGAGGCCAGAAGTTGCGGCGACGAAACCGTACTATGGGGAGCTACACGTGTTACGCAAGAGCGACGCCTGAGTCTGAAATGGAGGTTTCGCCGGAGATGGCAGACGCTATCTCTTTGCCCTGATCCAACTCCCTCGCCCTCTCGTCTAGTCCCTACTCGTCTCCTAAAACACATCTAAGTCGCTGTTTTTTCTGTACCTTGCCTATGGTCCCGGACCAAGAAGGGTCACATCCGGGAGGGCCCAATTTTCTTTTGTGGGTGCAGTGTAGTCGGTGTCAGGCGGTCAAGTCCCATGGACAATGCGTTAGGTACCGAAGTGAAAAGATGTGGGTCTGTCCCAACTGTAGAATGGACCAAGTCCCTACCGAGAAACGGTATCTGGATGCACGAACAACCGATAGATTTACACCAAGTGTCCGCCGGGCAGAAGTCTGGACGGACCTTCTGCTGCTACGGAGGATGTCAGGCGACTCGCTGTCAGAACTTACCAAAGCTGAGCGGCTGAGAGTCACAGAGCGGGCGCAGGACTATCGCTGGCAGGGACCAACGTTACAAAAACGAAAAGTCGATGATGATGGAGGGTCTAGCTGGTTGACACGGCACGCTGCCGCGCTCCGGCCCTTCCAGCCATCGCTAGGTCCCCTACGGACCCCCGCTCCTGCGAGATCACCCTCTCCTTCTTCATCCTCCTCCTCTTCCCGATCTGCCTCGTCCATTGGTGCTGAGAGTTTCAGGGATCAGGATGAACCATCGCCAGCCGGAGCATGAGCCCTCGAGCATTTCCAGACGCTGCTTGCAGATCGCTTGTTGCGGCATCGGTTTAATGAGGAAAGGCGGTTGCGGTACGACATTCAGCAGGTGAACGTGCCAGCGCCTCGGGTTGCTGATTTGGCGGCGTACTCGTTGCTTTGCGATCGGCTGACGTATGTGGGGGTGTACGTGGATGTGAGGCATTTGCCTGGCTGGGAGACGACTCGAGTATTCATTGAGTTCCGCACGCTCCAGGTGGCACCCAACTTTGTGCACAGCGTCGCCACGTTTATCAGAGACTTGACGATCCTACCACAGCCGGATCGGGAGCCGGCGCGAAGCTTTGTGCACGAATACGAGGTGGAAGCGGCCAGATCGGTGGCTAGATTGCAAGGACGGGGGGGACACCGATTCACAGCCCACGAAGTGCTGCTGCGCAAGGCAGAGGACGGACCAATTGCGTTGGTGCTACAACTCCCCGCGCTTCTTCCTCCCGCTGCTCCTCTCAACTTCCAAGCTATTCCCCGTGTGTCGTACTAAATGCCTCCCTTCTTCTCTTACACCACCCTCCCCTATCAGCTCACGGAGGGCCCTTATCCCATGTGCTAGTTCTCGAAGTATTTGGTGGAGCTAACTGACGTGGAGCCGCTGCCCTTCGCCGATGAAGACGCGTGGGAGTTGCACCGTGCGCTGTACAAGCCGGTGGCGCTGGGGATGTTCTGGTTTTTCGTGGATCACGAAGACCACTGCATCGGGGAGCACTTTGCGTCTACTATGTCATCACACGGCCCAAGCCAGCGGAGAAGGAAGGGACGGTGGCGCTGTACCCATTCGCCCAGCTCCAGACGATCGACCCAGGATTGTTGGAGCTCATACATCTTGAGCTCCTCTCCATTGCGCGAGTGATCGCGAGCGAGGAGGAGGAGATCCAACCACAATTGCGGACGGCGACGGCCCCGCGGAGAACCTACAACGCGGTCGTCATCCCGGATTACATTGCGCGGCGTGCGGAGAGGTTGGAGGACTTCCCAGAGGAAAAGTTGTTGCGGCCTCCCTCGTCATATCCTCAACCGACGCCAGTGAAGGCCCCGAAGAAGACGCCGAAGAGGAAGAGATGCCACCTATCGCTAGGAGCGCAAGGCAGCAGGATCGGCGGCGGCGAGGAGGTGATTCAGCCCGCGCGTACGCGGAATCCTGACCCTGTGCCTGGGAGTGCGGCGACACTCGTTAAGGAGACTTTCGTGTCATCGCCGCCCTTTCCGCGTGTGCCYGATCTCAATCTTSATGGAGYCGGKCCATCATCAKCAGCAGCAGCYGGAGGAGGAAGCCGAATGGGATTTCCGGATCSCATATCCAGASCCCCCGTCCTCGCGGGACCTCTCCGTTCCCGCCAGCCACCSCGGGGTGCCCMGRTCATTGACATTAGTAGTTCCTCCGAGCCGGACGGTCCATCCGACAGAGGTGGACTTCATGGTGGAGCCCGCCACCRTCAGGCTCGAGGYCATCGCGGGGGCGCCKCGCCCTGATCCGKCATGGGAGCCATATCTGACACCCCCTTTTCAAGGGTGTATTGCGRCGCGATTGCCTGGGACRCTCATCTACGRGACCGGGCAGCGTCCCAATGCGATGTACCACTTCCTTGTCTTCGCGGCGCAGAAGCGGGAGCGGCGGCCTTACACCGAGACTCATGTGGTGATGAYGGGTCCAGGGCCCCGATCGGTGCGCAAGCGAGTGGTGCGAGCGGTGGCGGATCTGGCGCCACCCACGTGTCTTGTCTCATGTGCCGGGGGCTTTCCTCTATCCCTCGTTCGTGCAGCACCACTTCCATGAGGAAGATGCGCCGACGACTCCCGCGGCAATGGCCGCTTTTCTTCCGCCTATTCCGCCCCCTCTCAATCCCGACATAGATCACTTCCTCAAATCACCCCCGTCTATCTCTCCCCTGTTCTCTCCTTCTCCTTCTCTTTATCGTCTTCTTCTCCTATCTCCAAAGTTCGCGCGTCGAGACGCGCTGTGTTAAAATAATAATAATAATAATAATAATAATAATAATAATAATAATTTTTTTTTTGAGAACTACTTACCGATCGGGCCAGCTGACGATGAAGGGGCCGCCCGATCGGATGTATACTATGGGAGGAGGCGATGGAGGATGCAGCATGCATGCACATAGATTAGGAAGATGATCGAGCCAGCTGGCGATGAAAAGGCCGCCCGATCATCCAAGGTATGATGACATCAGCAGTCGGGACTCGGGAGACTGCTAATTTTTCGGAACCCCCTGCGTATCACAGATGTGATAAGCTCAGATCCGTACCGCGCGGCTTGCCGTATCCCTGAGGAAAAATCCCGCAGAAGCCTCGAAGTACGGACACGGACAGAAAGGGGTTTTTCTTTCTTTTTGCTTTTGTTTTCTTTTTGAAACGGCTTTTTCATTTTGTTTGGTTAATAATTCCCGCGCGGGCGAATAGCGGCCGCGGTATGAAAAGCAAGAAACGGTTTCGGTTGGAACTTTTTTTTTTGAATTTTTGCGCGCGCGCCTAAGCTCCGACTTCTTCGCGCGTCTCGCACCCCCGTCTCTTGTTTTGCATCCCCGCGCCATCTTCCCCTCCGCCCAGCTCGATCCTTACTCCGCGAAGTGATTGGCCCCGTAGTTGGGATGCTCGGATTAATGTGGAGAGCGGGAATGCGCGCACCACTTGAACAGACACCCCAATCATGCAGAACCATGCCATCCCGCGGGTCGAACCCTCTAACTCCCCACCTCCCTCCTGTCATGCTCATCTACAACCTGCGCTGCCCGCACCTCGCGCTGACAACCCGCCGCCTCCCGCGCTATAAATTCGTGCAACCCTCTCCTCTCTCTCTCTTTGATCTCGGCTGCAATGCTGCGTGAGCTATGCGCGAAGTCCGCGGCGCCGAACAGGCTCGGCGAGCCCAAGGACAGGCGGAGTGACGACGCGGGCTGGGCCCGCGATAGTCTCGGGGCGACGCAGTCGGAGGTACTGAGCAGTGGTGGGGATTGGATGCCGGCCGCGGCAGGGCCTTGTGGCTATGGTGGTCGGTGGTCTTGGGAAGTTTTGAAGGCGGCGCCTGGGGGCGGCCGCTAATTGAGAATTTTTGTGTACAAGAANGCAGGGCCTTGTGGCTATGGTGGTCGGTGGTCTTGGGAAGTTTTGAAGGCGGCGCCTGGGGGCGGCCGCTAATTGAGAATTTTTGTGTACAAGAAGGACTCTCTTTTGTCTCCACTGCTGCTTTGTCTATGCATGACGTGTGTGTGAGGCCCTGAGTGATGGGAGCTTGTTGCGCACATGAGTGATGTCAAAGGTCTATGGATGATTGGATGTCCTGCCAAGGGTTGTTGATTGCCTGCATGTATGTGTGTATGTACTTATTCGGGTGGGGATGGAGGAACAAAACTGGGGAACCGTCTGCTTAGGAGTATGAGTGTGTTAATCCCGTTGTTCCCCTCCCTTCCGCGACCCTTCGTGCACGCCCGGGCATTCTCGATGTAAACTCACTCTCTCTCCCCCTCTCTCTCCCGCCTTCCTTTTTGAACTGATAGCCATCGCTTTTTGAGGTTCTTGTTCCCGTACCGGTGACGTCAACTGCCTGCGTCCGCGCGCGCGGTCGACGCCCCCGCAAGGGGAAGAGAGCTTTGGCTCCGCCATCTTCCTCCGACGCACTAACCCTGAGAGAGAAGGGTGCATCGAGTGTTGTATGGAGTCGATGTTGGTTCGGATGACCGGGAGCGCGGGATCTTGCCCGTGTTTATCGCCTACCTCCGATTGTCTCATCTCTCTACCGACCTTCCCCATCACAGATGACGACAGCGTCGACTGCGATGCGGACGTACGACGCGCGCTGAGGCGAACAGAGCAAGTGTGTTGGCGAGACCCGCCTCAGGCTTGTGATATAAGGGGGAACGGGTTTGTCTTGATTGAGAGTTTTGATTCCCCGACTCTAATATTGCCTTATACGGGTTTGACTGTGTTGCCCTGGTCGGCCGCTCACGCCGCTTGGCGGCCGCAGTTTGATTGTCGCTGGTGTCGCCAGGGGGACTCGTGTTCTTGGCGATGGCTGGTCCTGGGCTACGAGGGAGCGACACGTTTCCCTGAGCTTTCCCGTAGTGCGGGGGCGCTGCCCGCGCAATTTCGAATTCGGATGCCGGCGAGTCCTCCTGCCGTTTCGCCCTCTCGGGAACGTCCGCGCGGACTTTGCGAGTCCGACACCGAGGCTGGAAGGCTTCGAACCCACCACCTATCCCCCGAACCCATGACGGCTGGAGTTTCTGTCGTCCGACGCCATGACCCCCTCCCCTTGATGCCTTTTCCCATCCTGATGCACGACGACAATTCATTTTTGCGGAAACCCTTCTGATTTTATCGTTCCGGACTGATCCGACCCCCACGGGACTTCGCGACGACAGTTCGACTCTGGCACAAAACGAGGGTGTCCCATTCCGTCCGGGAGACTCAACCCTTACGGCCAAAAATCCTCGGCCACGCCCCTCCTAGAACTCTGATCGGCGACCCCGTACGGGACACTGCGAGGGGGCGTGAGGTTGCGTATCACAGACCAGGATCGCCTGCTGGAAAAAAAGAAAAACAAAAAGAAAGGGCCCACTTGGAGTGCTGGCGGTATCCGCTGGCACTTGAACTCAAGGTACCTTCGATGAATTCAAGGGCAATTTTGGCTGTGTCGCTGTGTCGCCCTTGAGTTTCAAGGGCGCACCCTTGGGGCGCAAAAAAGTGAAAACAAAACGGGTCGTTTTAAGGGGGGGTTGGAACAATGACTTTTCGCTGCTTTTGAACTCAAGTGGTGTGGAAAGAGGCCCTCAGGTCTTCATGGGTACTGCCCCATGCATGCGTCATCGCGGGTATGCCCGCGTCATAGTCAGCGCTACTTCTGGGTCGAGTAAACATGAATGAACCTGGCCATTCGTTCGGGCAAAAAACAGTGCTCACCTAGTCTTACTGGGCGCATTCTACACCACTCGAAAATACTTGAGTCTCAATTGCACACTAAATGAGAAATTGTGATTAATTTACACTTACTCCATTTATTGTTCCATGTACACCTGAGGAAACCCTTGAACAGGCTGCACTTGAAACCCAACTCCAGTGGTTGACCAATTCTTTTTTTTTTTTTTTTTTTTTTTTTTTTTTTTTTTTTTTTGATTGAAAAGGGCGATGGCCTTGAGGTATTATCATCGGACTAACCAGCCCAGGTAAATTCAATATTGTGTCTAATCTTGACCAATTCTTTTTTTTTAATTATTATTATTATTATTATTTATTATTAGTATATATATATATATATATTTTTGACAAATTCTGGACCAGTATTGCCTGCTGGAAAAAAAAAGGAAAACAAAAGAAAGCCCCACTTGGAGTGCTGGCCGTATTCTCTGGCACTTGAACTCAAGGTACCTCCGGGAGGTACCTCGGGTTCAAGTGCGATTTCGCCCCAGCGGCACTTGAGTTTCAAGTATGCACACTGGAGAGCAGGAATTCAAAGTGAAAACATTACGGCGGGGTCACTAGGGAGAGGGGTGGAACGAGGAATTTTCCAACATTATGCCTGTTTTCGACCTTGACGTTGAACGATTCAGATGCATAGGGAGGGGATCCTCGGCCTATAACAGCAACAGCAACCGTTAGCTCGGTTGGGACCAGCAGAGGAGGCGGTTGGTTTTTCAGTTCCAACTCCAGCTAGATTGCCAACCATTGATCCACACAATCAAAGGTCTGCAGTCATCAGGGTCTAAGGGGCATTTGGGCAATTGGACCAAGTATCGCAACTTACCCGGGCTGATGCACGGCCTCCCTGGCCCTCCCTGGCCCGCAGCCGTGTCCCGTGACTGTATAAGTAACAGGCGTCTGACCGGCCACAATAGCTTGTGTGCCTTCCCGCGCTGCACCTTCCAGGCCCCGGCTGCTCGCAGCATTCATCGTGAACGCAAATCTGCGCACGCCACACAGGAGTCAGGTCCCTCTGAGGTAGAGTCTTTTTCCCTCGCCTGGATTTTGGCAAAGCGGTCCCGCCCGCCCTCTATTTTCCCACGGTGTGCGGGCCTGCAGGCCTGCCGCCCACGTTTCCGACTCACTTCTGTGCGATCTGGCATCTTCTGTGTTTCTTATTTTTCCTATTTATTTGTAACAGACCTGTGTATCAACCCTTGAGTTCAAGTGGTGTCTAACGAGGCCCTTAGGGCCCGATTATATTTCTCTACACCCGCCAACATTTCGAGTGCATCTGGGCAACACAGTTCAGAATACTTTCATCAATAATGTTGGCGGATGGCGAGTAATTGCAACTACGCCCGTAGCCGTACTGCCCCCGCGCAAGGGTGCTCACGCGTAGCTCCACGTCATCGTCAGCGCTACGCGCTACGTCTGGGCCAAGTAAACATGAATGAACCTGGCCGTTCTTTCGGGCAAAAACCGTGCTTACTTGATCGTACTCTTAGGCCCTAGTTGCATCGCCATCCGCCAAGATTTCGAATGCATCTGGAGAAAACGATGTCCAGATGCAATCAAAATGTTGGTGGACGGCGAGTAGTGCGACGAGGCCCTTACTGGGCGTCACACCCTGCTCAGTAGGGCCTAGTCGCATACCTCTCCATCCGCCAACATTTTGAGTGCATCTGGGCAACCTTGAGTTCAGATGCACTCATAATGTTGGCGGATGTAGTGCAAGTAGGGCCTTGGCCGTACGCTTATTGGTCTAGGCGTCACGGAACGGCAGCCACTGTTGCAGTAATTTTTCGGATAAATTGCCATGCCTTCGACTCGTATTCGTATGTAGTCCTGAAACAACGTAGCGATGTAGCGATCTTGCATGCAGTGACGACGTAGCGACGTAGCGACCTTGCATGCAGGGAGCGCCACTCCCAGAGCGCAGGGAGGCGGCAGCGGTAAACTGGGGGCGCGCAGGAGGGGAAGCAGCTGATCGTTGGAGTGGTAGTCTGGTGTTCTGCGCAGTGATTTCAAGCCGGGATCGCTCCAGCCTGTCTGCACGCCGTTGTGAACCCTGATCGACGGGATGGCCATGTCGTTGACGAGTGCAGGTAGTCTCCATTCAATTGCACCACCCGGTGTGATTGCATGTGAGCGTCGAGATGCAGATTCAGGTGCCTGCGCAAGGAGAGTGCGGACATGGTTGTTATCCCGGAGTAGCGGAGGAGCGTCGACTCAAGCAGCTCCTTCGCTCTCTGAACTTGACTTCTGCCGGACGGAGCCGCATCTATGCGCTGCTCGCAGCGGTGTCCCGCTCAAGGTGGGACTCGGTTCCACGAGGCCAAGCAAGGTGGGACCTGGTTCCTCGAGGGCGAGCAGGAAGTCCCGTTCAAGACCATTTTGGCTGGCGGCAGCGAGATCTGAAGGTGACGAGGGCAGGAGAACGTCGTCTGGAGGTAACGAGGGAGGGGACGGCAGCAACCAGTTGCGCTTCGTACGATGGTTTAGATCGAAGTTGAGCACGTTCTTTCCCTCCGGAGAGGGACAGAGAGAGGCAAAGTCGGGGGAGAAAGGGAACTACAACGTCTACTACATTGTGAAAGATGGTGATACGCTGGAAGGTATCGCGGACAAGTTCGACGTCCCCCGCCATTTTCTGATTGAAGTCAACGATGTTGAGGGCAGTAAGAAGCTGAGTGCGGGTCAGGTTCTGTGGATTCCGCATGTGTACGAAGTGAAGAGGGGCGACACGCTGGACAGCATTGCGGAGAAGTTCGGTGTGCCCAAGTCGAGGCTGCGGGAGGTCAATGGTATTCAGGACGCTGATTCGATATCTAGCGAGGACGCATTGATAATCCCGCCTACGGAAGTTGAGAGCAGGGCGGGAGGGAACGGCCGTGAAGGAGAGCGCCAGGGTGTTCACACTGGGATGGGAGGATCGACGTCCGGCACGGCAGGGACGACGGGCAGCGCAGGGCAAGGAGGAGGATCAACGACGGGGACGGCTGGTAGGAGCGGTACCTCCGGAGGCCAAGGCGGAGGATCAACGTCCGGGGGGGCGGGTGGCAAATCTGCAGGGCAAGGAGGAGCTGGGCGCACGAGTGGCGCAGCCGCCGGGCAAGGAGGAGGATCAACGACGGGGACGAGTGGTAGTAGGGGTACCTCAGCGCAAGGCGGAACATCAACATCTGAGGTGGCGGGTGGCACCTCTACAGGGCGAGGAGGAGGGTCAACGACGGGGGCGTCGGGGACGGGTGGTAGGAGCGGCGCCACAGGGCAAGGCGGAGGATCAGCATCATCGACGACGGGGACATCGGGTGGGTCGGCAACCCGCGGAGGGCAGGGGGACGCAGGGGAAGGACGTGGACAGGGCACTGAGGGCAGGGGATCCGCTGGCCAGTAAAGCGGGTAGAAAGTGGTAACTCAGGGCAGGGGAGCCATTGGAAAGAGGAGGGTTAAGAGGGTTAAGAGGTTCGTCTCAGTTCACGAGACGCAGTGGAAGTGCTTCATGACAATGCGGGGACACCTATCGAGGAGGAAAAGGACTGGAAACGATGGCGTTAAACTTCCTCCTTCCGCCATTGAGGGTATGGACATGGAAAGTGGGACGCAAAGGGAGGTGGGTGCTGCTGAGGGTTAGGACGAGGGGTGGAGGATGTTCAGGGTGTGGATGTGGGAGGACCTTCAGGGTGTGGCTGGGTGGAGCTCGTGCCTTCCTCAGAGTGAGCTGTGCTCTATGATGAGGTGAGAAGAGGAGTGTGACAGATTGACAAGAAGTGCACTCGCGATGGCACTGAAGGTATTATATCTGCTTGGGTGTCTGGCGTCCGGTCCTCGTCAAACGGATGTGCTCGATGTAGAGTTAAACACTGTCAATAACTTGGTTTCGAGGAAGGCGAGGAGATGGAGGCCGAAGGAGAGCGTCCTCAAAGAGACGTCGCTGCACTGCCTACGGTCACGAAGCTTTACATCATAGGAGCCCAATGGAGGGGAGAGTCGCTACAGGGTCGCGAAGCCAGAGCTAGAAGCGACTTCGTTGGTTGGTTGACGGTTGTTTTTTTTTGTTGTTGACGCTCGTCGTGAGCTTCTTTTTTCCTGTTTTGTCCTGATTTTCGGCGCGAAGTTCTTTTATCTCTACAGTCAAGAAGGTGTACGTTAGAGACAGGAGTCCGAGGGAGGGATTATTCAATACCAGAGGAGGCGGAGCCAGAGTGTCGATGGAGTTGGGTTGACGGTCGGTTCTTGTTGTTGTCGTTGTTGTTGTCGTTGTTGTCATGGTTTTTATTCCTGTTTGGTTCGGATTTGACTGTTACCTCTTCAAAACCCCTCAGAATGTGAAAATCTACCTTCACAGACTTGGTTGTACATCAGAGGTGTCCGAGGGAGGGAAGAATCATTGAAGGGTTGCGCAGCCAGAGCTGCAAGGGGGGTCGGTTGAGGGTTGGCCCGTATAGTGTTCTTTTTGCTCCCGTTCGGTCCCGACTTCGAGGGTAGGGAAAGAGGTTGGAGGTTGATGTGCTGTTCCTGATGGTCCAGTTTCTTTCTCCACAAAATGCTGCGTATCGCGATAGTGTTGGGGTCTGCGAACAGGCCTTTTAGCTTGTACACATAGGATAGTATCACGGTATCTGACCGGCCTTACAGCTTGTATACATTTGTCGCGATGTGAAAGGGAAAGACGATAGTCCTGATTGTGGGAGTAAGAGATCTTCACAGTGGTATGTCGTCGGCTTTGCATGTCTTTTTTTTTTTTTTTAACGTCATTTTCCCGCCGAGGACAAGAAAAGAAAAAGAAAAAGGGGAAACGAGAACTGTCGGGGGGAGAAAATATCAAATGGACGACGTGAAGGGGTAGAAGTAGTAAACCTGTGAGGGCAGACTCATGCTAGCGCTTTCGTAAATGCATCTGACTGCAATTACGGCCGGAGTAGGATGAATACCCTTGATCGCTTTAGAATGTTTTTTTACTTTTTTTTTGGGAGCTTCAGAAAAATATAGAAACGCTGCCGACTAGTCGACTTTCTACTTGTTAATCGTTAGGGGAAAAAAATAGAAAATAGAAACGCCACCCGCAAGTCGACTTGCTCATTCCACATCCTGAATCATTCTCTTCCGATCTATTTTTAGCTTTTGAACGGTCAGATCATCCACAACGCGGTACCCTTGAAATGTTTCGGCGTGCTTTCCCTTTCAGGATCTTTCTTGGCGTTATCGGGCTGTTTTTTTTTTTTTTTTTTTTTTTGAACAAGCCTTGTTGATATTTCATTACAAACAGTTATGCAGTCGGGGCGGTGGTCCCCACAATTTTTTTTTATTATTTTTTTTTCTTCTCACCCGGAGTATCGGGCTGGTTTCCACTTTCCAATCCTTTATGTTTTTAGTTCCGATATATAGTTTTAGATTTCTCTTGAACTATGCGCTCATCCACAACGTGGCACCGCCAATATGTTTGGGCGTGTTTTCACTTTCAGGATCCTGTTTGGGCGTGTTTTCACTTTCAGGATCTTGCTTGGTGGTATCGGCTTCAACGCTTGTTGTGACTTGCAGTATCTTTCTTGTCGTAATGGAAAGACTCGTTACCTGGCACACATACGTGTGTTCAGGAGGTGTTGTCGTTCTTTGAATTCTTTTTTTTTTTTTTTT